TAAAGTGAGATGCTGAGTAGCTGTTTAAGATGTGGTTTCTTTCATAGTAATCATAAGGGTTATGATCATAAACATGTAAAGGAGAGTATATGAATAAATGTTGGCCTTGTAAACAACTAGTGTCCTGCTTGAACAACTTGAACGATGTAAACGTTGAATGTGTCATCTACAGGACGAGGAAGTAAACGGTTATTATTATATCTGGTCGCAAGCTTCGGGATCATCTTGCTTATCTCATCTTATCCAAACGCTACTACCGGGGAGTGGTCCCGCTAGTCCCGCTAATGAACGAAACTAGCTCTAGGTAGGTATTTTGGAGGCCATTCTCAACAGCGGGAAACATGGCCAATAAATACTAGGCACATCTAGCGTTTCTTTTGATTCTTTAAAATCGTTGTTTTTCGTTGAGACTCTTATGTTCTCAAAAGCAAACATTGAAACGTTTACTGTAGTCTACATCTTCGCTACTCCTTCAAAGGCAACTCATTAATAAAGGCTCGAGAATGGGTCATTTCCACCACACACTCCTATTATTCATAATGTCCAAAGAGGATGCTCAGAATGCCAGCTTCCATTGCATGATCTAGCTATCTCGACTTCATTGTTGGGTATTATGTGTTATGGACTTAAAAGCATGTTCCGTTTCTCCTTCTCTCAATCATCACTCTCAGAAGTACTTCCTCCCAAATCTAGAACATCAAATTGGTTTTCGATACCCAAGCCCAATCTTCTAAAATCGACACCTTCGGTTCTACTATCAATGCTACTATATCCACTATCACGTCTTTCGCCCTTGGTGTCTGGTTCTCCGCGTCCTAGGAGCTCACCTACTTTCCACTGTGTATAATTAGCAAATATACCATTACCAATACCCCAAAGAATGTCATGGGGTAGAAAGAGAACTCGAGACTTACGGCAATTCTCTCAGCACCCATTCTTGCCCCTTCAAGATTTGGTGAAGCTGGACCCATTCTCAAGCTTGCTAATCTTCCAGTAACAAAGAATGGTACCTCGTCACTCCAACTTAGATCATGTGTCAAGCATGGGAATCCTCCAACGGTTTCAATGCCATATTTCTTAATCAGCGGTTGTACTGCTTCGATTTTCTCAAAGTTGATATCAAAACCTGTTGCGTATATAACATGATCAAATGAAGGTAGATCCAACAACTCGGGAGAAGTCTCCACTTCCCACGATTGTGAGCCCGTATTCCATGAGGCTGAAGTAATGTTTGTATACTCATGAAGTGAAACTTGACCTTTTGAGATATGTGTTTTTAGAATATGATGATATTCCGAGTTGACACTTCCACCATTCCTCGCTTCTTTATACATTTCCAATCTCTCCTCGTCAGAATCTGCACTCCAGTAACGAGCAAGAAAGTGATTCTTGAATTTGGCGACCCATCCAAGTTCCATGTCAAAATCTTTCACTTTGAGGGGTCCACGCATTATCTGGTATACTTTCGTGACACCGCGTTTGAGAGCTGCATCTGCAATTTGGGCACTAGTGAGACCACCGCCTACAACAAGAAGGTTCGTTCGTTGCTTGCGCGAGATCTTTTGCACCATATGTGGGGGAAGAAGTTTATCGTTCGAGCTGAGATAAGAGGGAATGAGGGCGTGTGTTATGCTTCCTTCATCTGAAAATGGACAATCGGATGGCAAAGCTGGGTTTAGAGCAGCACCTGCTGCAAAGACAACAATGCGTGCTCGTTTTATACCTGTGGATGTTTGCAGTGTGAATACACCTGGACAATCTGGACATTCGTTGGGTTTATAATCGATCGAGTTAACTTCGGACTTTTCCACAATATCGGCCAGATCATAACGAGTGGCAATATCTTCACAGAAGCTCTTAAAGAGTGCGGTGCTTGGTCTGAAATAATCTGGTCGATCTCGCTCGTCGAGAAACGTGGTTTCCTGCTTGCTTTTGCCACTATTTCAATTAGCGACATTCTTCACATATTCTCATAACCCGAGAACATCAAGACAACACACCGTTTCTTCATCTTCTGTTTTCTCTGATGTTTGCTCAACTCCTTGCCAATAACCCCATGAATCTCCTTGAGTTCATCATCCCTCCCCTCCTTCCACGCATAGCCCCTCAACCCATCTCTGTCTCTCGGATCCGGATGAAAAAACATCGGACTTCTCAAATACTTAATCTCTAACTTCTTGAATCGCTCATTCCAAGCACTCATCCACTCGCCGCCGTGTGCATCTAGCACAGCGATATCGAGACCACCGCAACAAGATGCACCTTGTACCAATCGATCGCTGGCTGTGTGGGAACGTCGACTTGTTTTGAAAGGTTTGGATGTTTGACGCGCTGAAGATGCTTTCATCCAGTGATAACGTTGGTGTTCGGAGTCTGTGAAGAGTGATGAAGGGGTGCTTTCACAAAGACGTGCAGCGACAGCGAGACCGCAAGGACCTCCACCCACGATGAGAACATCATGAATATGGATATCGTCAACTGCTGACATATTTGAGCTTTTGGTGTTTGGAGTTATTTTGTTTTTCTTCTTGTTGTTGATACAAAATCTAAAGGATTCTAAATAGTAATATGTATATACAAGATACCTATTTGTGGTGGGTACCTTGATGGCCAACCTTGATGGGTTGATGACCCCTATGATTCTTAGCCACCTAAAACAATAACTCACATAACAAATGGTCTGAATGGAAATGATCCACATGTATATGCACTCGAAGTACTTGGTTTGTTTCAAATACTCATTTTCCTCTTCCCTGTCCAAACTTAAGCATCATCCACCCATCCTAATTGTTCACCCATTTTGACCTTTTGGCCCTTCTCAATGGCCCAATTCCAACCTCCCTTTCTCTTCTGTCCCATCCAGCCTTCATCAAGACTTGGTCTTGTTCCTTTAGGTGCCTCGAACACAAGTACAACAGTACTTCCTAATTGAAATCCTCCCATTTCTTCACCCCTTCTTAGGGCATGACCGTGAAGAATGGGACTCGCAGCCTCGTACGTAGCTTCAGCAAATCCGCTATATGATTCTCCGCGTTCTGCAGCTTCGGCGGCAGCTCTGTCGGCAGCGGTATCCGTTGTTAAAGAATTGGTTCGTAGTTCTCGATCGAAATTAATCTTGATAGAACCAACGTTCGTAGCACCGACAGGGATGAAGGAGAAGAAACCCCACCTCCATCTGCCAAGTAGTACAACTCGCTCATTCAGCGTGAACAAACCAGGTAATGTTCGTTGAAGATAGGGCGATACCGAGTATAGTTCTCCAGCAAAATGGCGGCGCTTTTCAGCGACCCAAGCTGTTGGAGAGTGGAAACGATGATAGTCACCAGGTGCCAGATATACAACTACATAATACAAAGCAGTCTTGTTCTCCGCAGTAACTCGAGAATACCACGGTTTTTCACCAAGAGCAAGGTCGGCACGAACTTCGGCTTCAGAGGCTGCCTTTGGTGTGGTAGAGGCATCACTTGACTTCTTTCCGGGTTGCTTTTGAGGTGGCCCGGAGAGTAAGTTTGGAAGAGTGTATGAGATACCATTTACAGTTGCAAACTTTTCATCTTGCTTGATGATCTCTTCATCTCCGTCCTTGTACCTCGCCTTACTTTGTTTAGGTGTGGTATCTTGAGGTGGGGTGAATATGTTGGAAGGGTCTGCAGGATTAGGAGTGGTAGCTGGTTTGCTGGTACCGAGAAGAGCATCCAAACTATAAGTCATCCCCTTAACTTGTTCTACCTCGCCACTTTCGATTGCACCGAACTGAAGAACCCGACCATCAGCTGGAGAAAGCAATGCATTAGGGTTTGGATGAAGTGGGCGAGCTCCCGGTTTCAAAGTACGATAAAAGAATGAAGCTAAATTAGGGTATACGTGAAGATCGGGTTCTGATACTTCAGAAAGACTAGCAGAAATACAATTAGAGAGTGCATATTTTTAAGATTGAGAAGTGCACTCACTTAACACCGAAAATAAAAGAATACAATTTGAATCCGGGTACACGTAGATAGTAAGGTATCTCCAATTCATTGAATCTGCCCCATATTCTTGACATGGCTTTCAATGGGAGAGTTGACATAACTTGAACCTGCCTGCAGACTTGTTAGCTAAAAGCTCAAATATCGAGTCAATTACATACCATGGTCCCGAGGGCCTTACTCTTTCCCTCTTCTTTGGTCTTCCTTGATATCCTTCATCATTTCCATCATCTCCAGATCCCACACTCCTGACAATCCCATCTTCGTCTTCCTCTCGCCTCCTTGCCTTTTCTCGCTCATTCACTCTATAGAACTGACCAAGACCTAAAAAGCCTATACCCAAGCCCACAGGTATATGATACCATGTTATTTTTGTGTCATTCAAAGCCCTTCGTAGTCTCGTTCCGAAAGATTCCTTGTATTCGTTGTTCTGGCGATAAAATCTCGCGGATGATGAAAAATTCCGAGGCCTGTGACACCGGCATATGCATTGCGATTGCCCTAAAATTGACGAAGTTCGCAGAGTATGAAGACCTCGCTGTGATGATTGAGGTGGAGTCGCATGCGCCGCGACGAGTCTGTATGCCATCGAGGGAGTCAGATTGAACAATCTCGTCCTTGTGATCAAGAATGGGCAGTTTTCAAATGTTCAAGTGTTTAGAATCAGCAATGACGAAACTCATTTATTTTGCCGCTACCATTATTCACCGCTTTCCGGCACTGCGTTTTGAAATAATCTTTCGAATGAGATAACAAAAAAAATTGTAGAAGAATAATGAAGTATCTGAATGAATAATTTGATTCCATCGTACTAGGTAGATTGAGTACAAGTCTATATATTGCACAATTGCACAAGTTGAAGTGTAGATGTTATATTATAGTCGTAAATCTCAATTCCTCACGAACAGTTTTGTCTGTCCCCTCCCCCCACGCAAACATCTAGGTACCCCGCGAGCCCGCCAAACCTAAGCAAGAGAACATCTATTTCTCTTTTCCATCAGAAACATCTCCCAATAGCACCATCAGCAAAATATGGCAAACTCGAGTTCAGAAGTCGTGGGCGCGTCACAGCCATCTATTCAAATCTCATTCCCTCTTCCAAAGGCTCCAGAGACCAATATCCATCTTCACCTGACAATCAATACAGTTTCAATACTATTGTTCCTCACAACGGCATTAAATGGCGATACTTCCACTGCACCACCGCTAGGTTCATTCGTCTATGCGCTTCCCAATGTAAGGCATTCTTTGATTCCTACTTCGTCTCAATGTTCTAACATATGTTTAGAGAATGAATGCTAGTCAGCCACTTTCTACACCCTTGTGTGTCTACGAATCCTCAGTCGAGTTCACGACCCGTCTTGCAAAATTGTTAGCGCGAAAGACAGGAAAGCCCGTCTACGTTGGCAATTCCATCAGCTTCGCAAGTGCAGGAATGGGCGGGACTGTGGAGGAGGAGATGGAAGGTTTCAAGAAGGTGGTGGAAATTGTCATGGAACAAGTGCGAAAGACCGAAGGTGAAGTGATTGTGAATGGTACCAATGGCACTTAAATCGAAGCCGTCAGTACCTTCAACACTCCTCAAACGGAGATGAAGCTCCAGCTACTACACACATTATTCTAGTTCGTACGAGGGAGAGCGAACGATACCGAGAATCGGGTTCTTGCAAAGCAAGCTACAACTTGATAGTTGTGCACTCTACTGTTGTACACATGCCGGGTCTAGAAATGACTACTGAACTATTCAAGCCATTTCAAGAATGGTATCACCCAAAATCAAAGATTCATAGGCTAAGGCCTTCATCGAGGCTTGTATCATGATCAATTTGGTGGGACAGCAATAATCGTCAGATGTACGACCTGACAAAGAACGGGACCAAATCCTTGGGATCTTACTTGCACATCATTATCACTTCGTCGTGCAACAACAACAGCACTAGGAACTCATCAAGGTCCAATTCCAGTATGTTCTTAGATTGTTCTGAAAACTTTCAATGGCCCACGACTCACTCCGCCAATATTTCAATGTCTATCAAATCTTTCATTGTGCACAACCGTCAATCTTGCCTAGAATTCGCCGAAGTCTCAATAATGTCATGCGCACTTTCTGCATGCAAGATTTCCAGGCCATTTTCCATTCAGAATCTATTTTAGATCTCCTGAAGAAGATAAGGCTATACTATTTCATTTCCATCTTTGACACAAAAGTAGTATCACTTGCCGCCGCACTAAGACCCGAACTCTGGAGGGGATTGGGAATGAGTTGGTTTTATGACATAGGGCTGGAGCTACAATGATCAACCGTTGGATAAGTATATGTATGAACTGTCCCGGCTGCAGGTCCACCGATGTGGCTTGTTGTTGGCTCCTCACAATAAGTCCATTTGAATGTGAAGCATTGTGCGATACGCCAACCCATTGAACGCAAATCCTTTACTGAGTGAATAGAACTAGATATTTGCAATTTGGATTTTTCGTGAATACGATATTCTTTAGGCTGGGACCTTGGGTTCTGGAGTTACACGGTGTCTTGGAAAGAATGTTTCTTCGTTTTAGTGATAAATTGCGTGAACAAATAGTGTATCTACAGATATCAGTCATGAGGTAGCAAGTAGCAAGATATTGATCCGTCTTGAGATGGAAAAATGATTTGATGGGACATTTATTATATCGAACTTAATATTATTGTGAAACTTGTATCCTGGTCTACCTAGGTATCTATAGTTATCTTTTATATTTACAGTTACCTATTCTAGGTATAATATATTGAATATATCCAATTCAGCGTTACTTCTCTCTTCAAACATTCGATTCTGCGAAAGCCATACCATCCCATCATTCTGCAATTCTATCCAATCTTATTGGTTAAGCAACACCCATTTCTATACCGACAACAAGCTCTCCAGTCAGCTACCCAGGTACCCCTCGAAGGTTATTTTTCCAAGCGAGAAGTTCGTTCTTCACAACCAGTCGATTTTGGCCTGTGGTTCAGTTCTTCACCAAGCACGAGTAGCTACGCGTACTTGGTGGTAGGTACAAGTGAGTGAGTGAGTGAGTGAGTGAGCGAGTAAGTGAAAGAACAAAGTCAAAGAGGATACAGTACTAGGAAGAGTACATTGTCAAGTACACTCGAGTAGCATACGCAAAAGACCCTTACGAACCTACCTATCAAAGGTTGGTAGCCGTCAAAACTCCCCATATAATATTCAGTATTCACTCATTACGCTCCCTCCAGTCATAACTTTTCCGTATTGGTCTTGTATGATACGATACGATACGTTTCCATCATCCAGCAAGGTATCTACATAGTACCTAGTACTACCTCCCTCCCTCCCTACCTACCTATCGGGTACCATATAAATAAATAAACCCTTTGTCATTTGTTATCATTTCATCCACCGTCTACGAAAAAGCTCTGCGAAAAAGCTCTACGACAAGCCCCGGTCAAAAACCCAAAAAGCTTCAATCACAATTTTATACACTCATTCTCCTACGTACGTACGTACATTTATTCACATTATACTCCGTGCAAACCAATAACCCCCCTGCAAGCGTTATTATATGGGTATCGTTGTACTAGTACCATATCGAAACCCCCAAATTTCGACACAGCTTTTCTCTGCCGCCTTGGATCTAGCAAACAAATTGACACCCCACCAAACTCCTACTTCATTGAATCGTAACACAATTCACATTCTACCTTTTTTCTTTTCTCTTGTCTTTTCCCCCTTCACAATTGCGATTCGTAAGTCATGCTCCTCCTTTATTCACGCTCCATCCAATGATCTATCATCTCCATCAATCCTCTCATAAACCATCATCACAAGCTAACTCTTCAACCTTTGCGACAGATGTCGACCTACCTCCTCTAACGTCCCACAAGTAAATTCTTGTGTTACCCCCAGAGCTTCTATTCCTTACCTTGAAGTGCGTACCTGCATATCGGAATCTTTAGAATACTCCAAATCGAAGGTGCGACAGGCTCCTAGTGAGAGGGTAACAGATATGGCGTGGCAGCCAGAACAGGAGGCTTTGAGGCAATTGTCAGGATGCTTGAAAGACTCGTTAAGTGGGCAGGACAAGATTGCTCAGAAGCAAGCAGAGATTGTAAGTTTTTCCTTTGAAAATGCATAGTCTAAGATGGAAGTGTTTTGCAGAGCCCGATCTAATTATCATGCCAAACAGATGCTATCTCAAGCAAAGTCTTCGCCAGATATCAATAATTACCTGACCTACCTATTTTCGCATTCGGAGGTTCCTTCGGGCCTAAGTTATACTTCACATGATTACTTTGCGATTCGATCGGCAGCAGCTGTTATGCTGAAGAATAATATTAGATCTGGGTACAAATCGATACCTCCTGAGAGTCTATCTCTTATACAATCCTCGGTTCCATTAGCCCTCCAAGACAAAATCCCAACCATACGAAACTACGCAGGAAATGTTATTACAGAAATCGTTAGTAAGGGAGGTATTTTGGGATGGCCACAGATTTTACCAGATTTACTGGCTTTGATTGGGAATGCCAGTGGAACAATTTCACCCGAAGCACAGGAGGGAGCCATGGCAGCTTTGTCGAAGATCTGTGAAGATAATCGAAAAATGCTAGACAAGGAATACCAAGGACAGCGACCGCTTGCCTTCATCATTCCAAAACTCATTGTGTTCGCTGCGAATGAGAGGCCACGAATTCGAACTTTGGCTTTGACCGCTTTGAATATTTTTATTCCACACAAACCTCAAGCCTTACTTATATCTTTGGATGATCTTCTTAACCGCCTGTTTCAACTCGCCAGTGATCCCTCAAATGAAGTTAGGCGACAGGTCTGCAGAGCCTTTGTTCAGATTGTGGAGATTCGACCTGATAAGATTCTCCCTCACATCGGCGGATTGGTTGACTATATGATAGCACAGCAACGAAAAGTTGATGACGAGGATTTGGCATGCGACGCTGCCGAATTTTGGCTTAGTGTCGGGGAGCACAACGAGTTATACACTGCATTGGGTCCATACCTTGACAAAATTATACCTGTGCTACTTGAGAGTATGATATATAGTGAGGAAGATATTGCGATGCTTGAAGGGGGAGGCGATGATGCCGATGTTGAGGATCGCGCCGAGGATATCAAACCCAAGTTCGCCAAAACTAAAGCTGCTAGAATGCAAGCGGCAAATGGGGACAACAATGGAGCAGCGAATGGTGTCGATTACGCCAAACTCGCAGGCATGGAAGATGATGATGACCTTGATGAAGGGGAAATCGAGGACGATGACGACGACGAGGCCCCTGAAGACAGGTGGAATTTGAGAAAGTGTTCAGCTGCGGCACTTGACGTTTTTGCAAACGATTTCCGCGGGCCAGTTTTTAACACAATTCTTCCATATTTGATGACCAACCTACGACATCAGGAATGGCCACACCGAGAAGCAGCGGTTCTCGCTCTCGGTGCCGTTGCTGAAGGCTGTATGGACGTTGTTAGGCCACATCTTCCCGAACTGGTACCCTACCTGATCTCACTCTTGAATGATGCCGAACCCTTGGTAAGGCAAATCACCTGCTGGACCCTCGGTAGATACTCGGCTTGGGGGGCTGGGCTTGAAGACCCGAACCAGCGAGCACAGTATTTTGAGCCTATGATGGAAGGCATTCTGACAAAGATGTTGGACCGCAACAAGAGGGTTCAAGAAGCTGGGGCTTCAGCATTCGCGCATCTCGAAGAGAAAGCAGGTACCAACCTCACGCCTTATTGCAAGCCAATCATTCAACAATTTGTCACGTGTTTTGAGAAATACAAGGATCGTAACATGTTCATTCTGTACGACTGCGTTCAAACACTAGCCGAGCACGTAGGTCAAGGTTTGGCGCAACCAGAACTCATTGATTTATTGATGCCAGCACTGATTAACAGATGGCACAAAGTTTCTGATCAATCACGAGAATTGTTCCCACTCTTAGAATGCTTGTCGTACGTTGCCACTGCTTTGGAAGATAGCTTCGCCCCATTTGCCGCCCCCGTTTTCACGAGATGTGTGACAATCATTCATCAAAACCTGGAAGAATTCATGGCGGCGGCCAATAATCCAGGGTTAGATACTCCGGACAAGGATTTTATGGTAACTAGTTTGGATTTATTGAGCGCGATTATCCAAGCAGTTGACGATAAGCAATCTGCAGCTCTCGTATCCGGTTCGCAGCCCCAACTTTTTCAACTTCTCGTATATTGCATGGAGGATCCAGAGAACGATGTCCGCCAATCATCCTACGCGTTATTAGGAGATTGTGCAAAATACGTGTTTCCACAACTACGAGAATTCCTCCCCACGCTACTCCCTGTGCTCATTAGTCAACTCGACCTTGATTCAATTGTTGATGAACAGATTGAGTCGACCTTTAGCGTACTCAACAATGCATGCTGGTCGGCAGGTGAGGTGGCAATTCAATACCAAAAGGACATGGCCCCATACGTGCCCAAATTGTCCGAAAAATTCCTCGAAATACTGTCCAATCCAATGGTACCAAAGTCGATGAACGAGAATGCAGCTATAGCTCTAGGACGAATGGGCTTGTTCAACGCTGAGATCCTGTCACCCCACCTGGCCACCTTTTCTCAACCATTTCTTAAGGCTCTCGAAGATGTTGATCACACCCTGGAAAAGGCTACTGCTTTCAAGGGCTTCTTGTCGATTGTTATGTTAAACCCACAAGCCATGGAGAAAACTTTGGCGCAATTTGTCACTGCAATTGCAAAATACGGAAAGGATGTTGAACCTGGCAGTACTTGGAACGTCGAACTACAACAAGCATTCCAACAAGTAAGCTATTGATTTCCTCCTGTCATAATGTTTGGACATGACTAACATTTATTTCTTTAACCACAGGTCCTCGATGTTTATAAGGGTCTAATTCCGGATTTCAATGGCTTCCTCAACAGCAATGTTGCTCCAGCAAATATCGCAGCTTTAAGATCAACATACAACCTGTAAATATCTATATGGATAGGATGACCTTCGGGCCAGTTCGAAAATTCAAAGTATATTGCAATCTGAGAATTGAAATGTTTTACAATTTAGGCAGATGGGCGTCCATGGGATAGGGAATGATTAAAGATAAATGCAAGCTGATAGGGTTGCAATTTGACGAGGAAAAGAAAAGGTCAAATAACAAGCATGCAGGAGCTTGAGGGCAAAATATGCATGGTTTATTTGTATTTACAAAAGATATTCAACGTGAGGAAGGTTACGTTTTATGGGATGATGGATGGATACTGATGATTAAAGCGAATGGGATGATTAGTGATTTGGAAGAACGATGATTGAAGGATGGCAATCCAATCCATAGGGGTTGAAAGAGGAAAATAGCTTACTACATTCTGGCAAAAGGGATGGCATGGCGATCGATTTTTCTTCTTTCTTAATTTTCTTTCCACTTTGTGCTTGAGAAGGTGTGGAACGCTGGTAGGGTGTTGTGGGTTGGGCTGATAATAGCCCTAAGGACATGTCATGCATAGTCATGGGTGGATGAATGGGAAGTGGGATGGATGGATGAAAATGCAAGTAAGCAAAAACAATTAGATAGATATACTTGATCTTGATACCTCCTGTTTGGGCTCTATATTCTGGGGGGGAGAAGTGAAAGAAACCATGGTCAGCGAGAAATTGAAGAGGTACGGATGGGCATAATATGCTTTGAATGGGATGGGCGAAGGGAGGCATTTTTTGCAACAAGCATAGCGTTGAGATGGGCATGTTTTTGGCGACGGGTTATTATTTAGGTAGATAGATGAAGTAGATAGATAGCATATAGTTGGTGAGCGAATAGTACATAGTAGCATAGAGGGAGATTTTGAAATGTTTGTTGTTGATTGAAATTTGAAGGATGCGATGTCAGGATAATGCTAACGTGAATGTAAATGTATGAGTTGGAGGACAATTGGGGGTGATAATGAGTATGCGAGAGGCAGAATGGGAAAGTGGGAAAGGGGAGCAAAAGTCTCCGGTAAGGAGGTCGGTAGGAAGGTAGGAGGTACATACCCGGTGTATGAGTTGTCTTTCGTAGGGCGCATACATCCAGTATGATGTTATGTAATGTGCTCTGTGGAGTAGTGGATTGCTGGGCGCGAGCTGAAATACCGGTAGTGGATACGGAGAATGCAGGAGGTGAAGAATTTGAAATAGGGAGGGATGGGATGGGATGGGATGGGGGGAAGGTGGATACCTTCATACCTGTATCCTACGTATGCATATCTCTGTATGCATGTTATGTGTGGATGGATGGATGGATGGATGGATGTGTGAAAAGGGGATATGGAATTTTAGAATTTACAGAGTCTAGGTGGACTGGAGGGGTGCGGGTTTCACCGGTGGATTGGACTGGATTGGACTGGATTGATTTTGAGTTTGATACGATGATGGGGCGAAAGGAGGTGAGGTAGGTGGTATTGACAATTTTGATATTCGGGAATTGGGGAATGAAAAGGCATTTAGGGCAGAGTATCCATGCAAAACTTCATTTAACACTAAACGTGTATGTATGTGTGTATCTTGCATGGGACCTCTCTCTGGATCTGGCTACACACACGGGTCCCATATCTTCACTCAACCCGAAACAGACTCGTGAGGAGGTATCTACAGTGCCGCAATACATCCACGCATCTTCCACATGTCACTAGGGCTCAGAATTTCCACCCATCTACAGAGAGAGGGACTCCACCTGCTTGCACCCTAGATCTCCCCGAGACCCTGCTTGCTTCCTTCCACGTCCATCCGCGGAGATATCCCCGGAGCCCTATCTATATTCACTCTATGAAACTTTCATCCACCATCTGCTCTCAGATTCCCCCTGTCGTCCTCTTCAGATCAGATCGGCACTTCATCAGCCTCGAACTCTAATCGCAAATCCCGCTTCTAGACTTCTCCGAATCGCCGAACTCAGGGCCTCGGGGGTTGGCAGCAAATATCTTGTGAATGTTTCACTTCTTCTGTCGATCAAGGTTGAGTTTCTTCTTCTTCCTCCTCTTCTTGAGAACTCCGGGATGGTTGTTCAAACTTTATGTACCTGTCAGTTTAGTATTTTGGGGGGTTCTTTTGCTTTGGAACTATTGAATATGCTTGTGGGACATCGGAGTCCTTCAGCATGTCTATTCAAACTCTATGTATCAATATACCCTACTTAGTTTTGAGCTATTGAATGTGCTTGTAGGATATTTGATAGGGAAGGGGGTACAATTCGACCAGGGGAAAACTTAGTAGTGAGGGCTTGTTTGAGTAATCATGTGCAGAAGGAAAAGAATAGAGTTGGGAGGATAACCCGGGAACGTGGAAGGGTGTGAGAATGTAGCATTTTGTGCTGCATGTTGCTGTGGTGAAAGAGATGTAGGTCTGGAGTGGAGATCCAAAGCAGGAGATACAGCGAAAGTTTGTTTCGTGATGGAATGCCGGAATGCCGGAATGGGATGGATGGATGTATAGGAATCGTTAGATGTCTGGAGTAGAAGCGTGGATTGGGCGAGATGGGTGTGAGAATTGGGTTGTTTCTTGAATCAAAACCAGTGAGGTCTTGCGTTTTTGATATCTCTAAAATGCATGATTAGAGCTAATGATATTGTGGTAGAAGTATTTTGGGAGACGTATGAATTTAGTCAAGCTTGGAATCTCTGATGGCCTGGACTGGGAGTGGGAGATGAGAGACTGGTGATTTGTTAGCCTATTTCATGTTTTTGATCTCATAGATGTAGTGAGATCATCTAGAGCATTGAATTCGGTTGGGACATTGAAATCAACTAGAATATTGGATCAATCTCGGTCAGATATTGCAAATCTCAACTTTACCTGCCATTACATCCAATGCAACATTTTCACAATGTTTGACATGGTGAGACTCAATGACCCCAGAAAAGGCCACTCATATATTCAAGCCATGAATTTTCGCACTGAAAACCTACTTGGGACCCGAATGAAGCTCAGATTGATATTCTCGAATAATAAAACTTCTTCTAAGTATAGAATGCTGAAAACAATACTTTCCCCATGCAATCTTGAATGCCATCGCAGACTCCTTGTTTGATTGTAAAAGGTGAGTAATCGATGAATGATAAGTGAACCCCAGATAGTGACATGTATAGTAATGTCGGCCCTTTGCATGCTGACTCGATGGACCGATTACTCGCTCAGGATGTTCCTTCACCGCGAGGCTTCGCCGCCATACGCGTGAAAATTGGACGATTACGAGGTAATTGCTCATCTTCACAAACCAGCAACCATTAAGCAATCTCATTTCAGACCGCCTTAGCGACTTCGCCGTCAGAATACTTGAATAACTGTCATCCTACGATTACACAACCACGAAGTCGTGGTGGCTCATCAAATCAATGTGAGAACTCTACTTAGAGTTCTGACTTCAGCCTTGTTGATATCAAGACTGCCTTTCTATAGTTGGGATATGTTTGTTCAAGGAGACGAGCGAAATTATTTGTATAATGCGACCCCCTGAGCATTGGCAATAGTGACTAAGACGGCGTGCATGACTGCGTGTTTCTGATCCTATCAAGCGCGGATAGAAACCCTACGTATCGCGACACATTACCTCATGCGGCAATTTTTCGTTTTCCATCGAATAGTCGAACGATGGCGGTGGTAGTGACTGAAACGGAATCGGGGTGGTACGGCGTACTGGATGGAATCTATGCAATACCGGTACATACCTGCCTGCGTATATGGATGGTTGGAGAAACTTTGGAAACTTGATAATATTGAAAGGGTTAGTCATGATTGGAAATGCGTGTAGGTAGTCAGCCATACATCTTCACTGTTTGCTGCTGCTGTGTTATTGAACCAATGTAGCGTTACATGTTGCATCCATCCTCTCAATTTATGGGTAGCAGATTCACACCATGCGATTCCATATCTCGATCCTCAGCAGACAAAATGCATACTTGCAGGATTATAACCGTTGATCGCTGTTCCAATTCGTCTTTCCTTTACTAGAAGTGGGATTGCTGCAGTGATGCTTGAGTACATGCGAAAGAAAAATGACACGTTCACCGACTATCTAAAATTGGATCGAGGGGCTGGAGAATACATGAACATACCCCGCAGTCTTTATTGTTTCTCTTCGCGAAAGTTCTTGTGTATTCCCCTTCCTGTAAGATTAATGCTCTGCAGCAAAAGGACGCCCGTAGATAGGACAGGTCATAGATCTTGTGTGTTTGACCTTGCGATAACATGTTATTGTTGCAGCATATGCATGGTTTTCCTTCATCTCCACCTTTCTCTACTGAGGGGAGCCCATGAATGTGGAAGACAACACGGAGCCTTTCTACACCCAACTCCGAGAGACTAGATAGAATGGAAAATCTAACATATTGCCTAAGGACATGAACATCAGTGCGGTCCGAGTCCGAGTGAACGATGGCAGCGGATGTAACAAAAGAAGCACAAACACTGAGTTTTCCTTTCGTCATAGGTCAATTCTCAGATTATGCAAGAATAGGATAGATAAGTCAAACCTAACAAGGTGCTTTGCGTGTATAGTTACTTTTTCTTGCATTTCCCCTCTCGTGCGTCTCAGAAAGGTAGTTCTAGTGAGGAAGCGGGATGTGGCGCACGGGTGGTAGTATAGCGATAGTCCAAACCGTTTACAATGCTAAAACTACACTACTTTAAGCAATTCCTGCTGCCTGGATATAATGGTTGATGGTGAAGTGTAGTTTGAACCGGCAAATAGGATTCTGCAGCCACAACGAATGACTTTCTTGCCCTCGGGTCTCTGAGAAAGAAAAAGTCCGAATCATGTGGGAAAATCGCTGTCTTTAGATGTGTTGGTCTCCTCCCTCCCTACGGATTGCCTCTCGCTCATTGAATTAGCATCGGAGTCCCCGGTACCTAGGTTCAATTCCACTCCACATATCGGATTTACGGGAGGTGAATTCTCGGTATGAGTTCACGAATCTTTTCAATACTGTTCGATTTTTGCACAAGTGGATCTAAGAGAACAGTACAGAATAAGGGCCCCAGAATATAGACTGTTCCTAAGCGAATTGATTACCCAATATAGCCAATATATATGGGCTATTTTTAGTAATCAAAAGAGTTAAAAAGGCTGTCTCGGCTTTTTTAACCCTCATCGCCCTCCACTCAAAAACCAAACACCCGTGTTGATCAAGAAAAGCCAAGACCAAACTTTACTTGAATTATAAAAGCTTGGTCTCTTGGCGCTGTGGCCCAGTTTAACCAGTCTTGCGGAGAACAGGCGCAATAAGGTAAGATGTTTTTCATAAGAATTGTGCACAGAACCTTGCCCCCTGCTCGCCCTGGTATGTTGATACCGAGACAAAAGATCCCAAAAGTTTGTTTTTATTCTCCATAAGATCATGAACAGGGCAAGTGACATGGTCATTAAACACATACGGCCGGATATTCAATGTCGATACTTCGGCCCAACAGATGCTAGATACGGTGGCTCTGGATGTACACACCCGTTGATTTTCGATATCCCCTTGACTGTTACCCATGACTTGATTCCATTCGATGCTCCATGCTTCGTCCTCACCGTCCTCACTCAGATATCTCCAAATAGGGAATTGGACTTCGGATGACATCTATCACCATGATTTACCAAGAGATAGAAATGCAAGGAATGGTTTCACAAGCCCTCCGAGGCTAAGTAACATGTGGTAGCTGCATATTGATTTAGAAGTTTTCCAGCGTCTAATTGGTTCAACGTAGCGTGTGAAAAGTATGAGAAAGAACTACTCTAGGAATAACCATGCTCTTGAGCCTCTCCAAATGATCCAACAATGTTGTCATTTATGCAGAAGCCCGCCCAAAGGAGATAGGTTGAACACCGCAGAGTCAGGGTCCAATATTGCGGTTTAGAAGTTGGAGCCGGTCAAGCATTCTTCATTTGGAGCTTGCGCCGGAAACACCAACCTAATGTTCTGAGCTTAATTCTTCTTCACGCTGAATCATGATGTTTTTTTTTGAGCATTCCGCGTTGAAACTATGGTATCTACGCAGGAGTCACGAACCTTGATGGGGAAATCTGTATTAGGTTTTAGACGAGGGGGACGAGCAGGTTCCCCTCGCGTGTCTAACCAAAACACTTCACCGCCAAAATGATCGTCCCATAGGATGGGAAATTCCACGCCTTCAATGAATAATTGTTGAAGCTTTATCCCCGAGCTTAGATTTGACGTGCATAGGTCAATCTTTGCTCAAAAAACCCCATTCCATCGCCAAAAATCTTTAACTAAAGTTCCACTCGCGTGGCAAACATGTTATCTCTTCGAAACTTCCCATATTTCGTACAGGATCAAGCTTGGGTGGTATCCATGGTGATCGAGAAATAGTAAAAGGTCATGGGACTTTCCTATCGACTATGTGGATTTCCATTAATCCCGAGACAAATCAATCCTTGTAATATGGCCGCAATTGCCTCATCTGTATCAGTACGGAGTAGCTTTGTGCTGTCGCCGTTAGCCCCACACCACACAGAAATGAGCAAGGGATAAGCAAGGCAAAATCGACGTCGGTGGTAAGGTTTCTATCGTAGTTTTCTACAAAAAGGTGCTGCTCAGAAAACCAGCCGAGCACACCACTATTGCGCTGGGGAAAAGTGGGAAAGTGGGGGAACGAAGGAAACCAGGAAACGCTGAAAACTTTATGTTAGCTACCAAAGTGCTAGGTGGAATCCAATGCAGTGGACAGTGGACACTGATAGCATCCCTATAGCATGGCACTCCGCAGGCGTCCCAATCACATTTTCTCAAGAGTAGTGAAAACACAAAATGTGAAAGATACGCTATTATTCGAGAAAGACCGAGGATCTACGAGTTTGCAGCACCAAACATCACAGAGCACTGTAGTGAAGCATAGCGATCGAAGTCATGCATGTAGAAAATAAATGGGAAAAAAGAGGCGACCCGACAAACAGTGACAATGAACGATGCCTGGTAAGATCGGACCTGAATTATATCGAATCTGACCACTATATAAAAACGGACGATTATTAACACAGCTGCATGTATGATTATGTGAATGAAAACATACGTACAGTAGTGTAGTTTCCGTGCTTAAAACTTGCGGTAGCTGTTGCTGTTGTCCGATTTTCATACTACGTAGTATTTCAATGTTGCATGTAAACTTTCGTGTGTTCTTTTAGTACAGCACAGCACAGCACAGCATGCTCTTGTACCGCACAGAAAGGAAAGTCAGATCTTCTAGAAGAAAAATGGGTACTAAAAATAAATTGTTGGGGATTTAAACATGTCTTTTTGCCCTTTGCATGCTGCAGTGATGATTGTACCCAATGACTGATGTACAGACTAATACACCTCGCTCCATAGAGTAATTGTTCAGTAGTTCCATGCATACGACTGATGTTTTGGCCACGCGATTGACAGGATTTGATGAAGGAGGCGTTCGAAGTGATATGTACTGTATGATCGATGTCACTGTCACAAGAAAATCTCTCTGCATAGCAAGATAGAATTAGTCCGTCCACCTTCTTTTATGCTAAGCACACAGAAGGAAACGATGGAAGTTTTGACTCATCCTGACAATATATGAATAATCAAATCCCTCTCCCCTCCTACCCCCCAACACCCAAGTTCACATAACCCTATCGATCCATAAGCAGTGACATAAGGCGGTGAAGCCAAGGCCCTAGTCCTTGGCGAGGGTGAGTGAACCAATAACGTGCAGCAAAAAGGGGGTTTTAGGGTTTGTTGATTTTTCTCGTTACAAAAAGATGGTGATTTGTAGGAAGAAACTTGGGAAAACTGAAACCGTATAGATGAATCCCCAGTCGCAGATCTGAACGCACGGGATAGTGAGATATGGCTGGGTTCACCCCTTCAGCCGCGGCCAACCATGGGTTGGATCTAAGGACCTGTCTAAGTGAGACAATCAGAGCTCAGAAGCTCAACGGTGGCCCGAGGTCATGCCTGGTAAGGTTCGCACTTGATACTTGATGCGTAAATTCCCTGGTCAGTGTTGTGGGTAGTCGAATAAAATACCGTAGGATACGCTCTCTCCTTAGTCATTTAAAAAGATTTAGACGGCGATCGGGAGGGAAGAGCTCACTCCCCGAAATGCTAATCATGAGATGTTGTATGGTTGATAGATGCTGTGTCAAATTCCTTCTACGAGCATGGAGTAAGGTTTTAGAGTGCAGAATATGGAATTGTAGTACCCATTGAATGTACAGCCCGACGGAGTGGTAACCCGGGACGCTACTCAGGAATTATGAGATAATGACTTGGATCATAGGGCAGAACATGAGTACAAATGAACATGTCAGTCGGGACAATTTCGTCTATCTGCTTATTTTGTTAATTAGATCACTTGATACATCTTTCTACTTCGCATCGTTGTTCAAAGTAATATATATGATTATATAAAATAGACGGGGGCAGTATATCCGAGTTCCGTGGAAAGAGCGGATCGGGTATGAAGGGGCTATTCCAAATATCGACGTGGTGTAGAAGGAATTGGTATTCAATGCCCTCACGACGTTTTTGAATGACATCCTCTTTTTTTTAATTTTTGATTTTGCACAGCCGCCGGCAGTTTCAGTCAGCATGTCATCAGAAACAACACAAACATTCAGGGCCTCTCAGCACCGTATCATGACATGGTAACGATGGTAGTGGTGCAAAAATGGACACGAGAAAATGTGCGAGCGAGTGCGAAAGTTCACTAATCTTCCACATTTGGACCTAAAGAATGCCTGTCTATTTTGCTTGCTTCCACCCAATTCAAGACCCCTTTTCGACAGACAGTGCGACACTGGTAAGAAATCGATTTTTTGAATCCGTCATGCTGGTCGTGGTTTAGTTCGAGGCGGAGTCGTTCGCCTGTGTCACCAGTATCGACAAATGCGTATGTACGAGGAACCCTTGAGGCCATCTTCCTGTGAAGAGTGGTGTTGGGCTTGAGCGGCGGGCAAGCGTCGATGCGTAAGCTGCGTTACAATGCCATCATAAGCTGGTTTAATTTCATTTGATTGTGCTCATGGGCTTTCAAGTTTCAGCACAGCAATTGAGAGTGAGTACAAGTAAGGCGACGGATGGATGTGATGGATGTGAAGGGTGTGATGGATCATGATTGAATGGATGGGGATGGATGGATGGGGGTTATGGATGATGTTCCCGGATAAGTAAAGGATAGATGGGATATCGATAGATATCGGGCCTGCTTCACATTCATGCATTTGCATTTGCATTGCAGTGTGCAGCGTAGTGCAGAGCGTAGTGTAGCAACATCATATTATAATCTGTTCTGATCGAATGTCATCACATTCTCGCTTTCGCTTTGTGCCTTGCCTTGCCGTTCATCTCGTCGATTACTCCGTACTGCAAATCGCTTGAAGGCTATGATAATGTATGATGTGTGATGTATCATGGACGTTACGTTGAACGAAAGAGGAAACGGACTAGGTGGGTATATTCAATTACCTCGGTCGATTGGTTTGGTTGATGATTGAGCCGTGTGTAGTAGTTTGGTAGTGCATCAATTCTCGTCTTTTTCAGGCTAAAAACTTAAACCTACCATTACATCAATCGTTATTGCTAGTAGATTTAGACCTTTAGACCTTTAGACACTTACACTCTGATGTTTCTTTAGTGACAGGCAACAGTATATTGTATTGACAAGCTTTCTCCCTTGGCTATCTTCAGTTAAAGGGAAAATACTACAATGCCACATTGGTAAGTTAATCCAGGTTCAATCCAGGTAATTAACCCTTTTCTATCAAATGATGTAACAAAACCTCTGTCATCAAGTCCAAGCAAAGAAAATGGAGGCTGGAGCCCTATGCCCATAGCGGGTACCATCAACTTCAATATCATGGATTCATGGAACCCTTTGCATTGATTAGGGATATTGATTGGTTCGCCATAGCATTTAAACATCGAAGGAGGGTGATGGCCAGCAATATTGCAAGCCAATCCTTCTTCGGGTAAGAAACATAAGAGAATGCGGCAGGTCTCCGTTGGTGATATGCAAACAGAACTCGGAAATCAACCAGTAAGAAGATATCTTCCACTCTATTCAACCACAAACAGAAAATGTGAATCCGTCCTCCAACACCAATTCGGCTATCCAGTCCGATTCAAGTCATTAAGCTGTCATAGGCACATGTGAGTAAGTCATTGTGTAGTAGGTATGTACGTCCGTATGTAAATGTAAGTGGACGGTTAGAACTTAGCAAATATTCATAAAATTTATTTTTGGATCAAGGTGCATTCCGCCTTCCATCCACTACTGAGTACAACCAACCATCACTACCTCTGATCCTTGTTACACCTTATTCCAAAGACTGCATCAGAAGATCTACGCCGCTGAAAGCTGGTTCGTTGTTCAAGACAAGGAAGATGGGAACTTTCCTCCACTAACCTTATGTTTCTCCCTACATTTGAAGTTATGCACCGTCGCATCATATATTCACTTCAACGCAGGAATTGATTTCAAAATTAGGTAAGTGGATGATTTTACTAGCATATCCGCAGTAAAATAGAGTTTTTCCTTAGTCTTTTTTGAAAAGCTAGATGGGAACATGGAAAGCGGTGAGATTTTGATAGGTAGAGGAGGGCAGAGGGGGTTTAGATTTCTTTTGCTTTGATTTACAGTACAAACTTTCAGCGAGCGAGCGAGCGAGCGAACAAACGAACGACGAACGACGAACGGTAATAATGTTTTAGGGTTAAAAATAATCATTGGTTCAATCGAAACTTCGTGTAGACAGAGAGTATGTCAGAAACGAAAACATCAACTTCGGAAAGGGTTAAACTAAAATAGGCTATTCTTATCCGAGCTTTCGTTTTGCCCATTTTTCCCCCTTACTTGTTTGCCCTGCCACCTTTTTCCAAGTGAAACCTAAATGGACTTTTCAATGTCCGTTTCTTGCTCACTTATTTTTGGGCACCTATGAGCATTGTATCTCCGGTACTTACAGGTATCATAGCTCAGGTTTGCCTTGAAAGTTTAGTCTGCTATTTTGCCAGCAATTATCCTGCGTTTGAAAATGTTAACAGTTTCAATGCTTCATAGCACCGGTAGACTGCGGACATACAATGTTGCGGTCATAGTAACCATAGCAAATGCTACCTTGAATCAAATCCAACCAACTGTCAAAGCACCTGATTAGTTCTGGTGGTTCCGCCCCCAAAAGAGATCAATATTGTTTATCGGAGCCGAAATCGATGGAAAACCAGTTCCATTCTTCGGTACCCCCCGCTACCCTGCCCCCATTGACCTTTTTTGAACACATTACATCTATCTTACTAAAAGAAACCTCACCAATTCCCTATATACTATTACTCTAACGATACTGGCACTTGACTATTACCTGATCAATCCAAGACCTCACACTGATACAGTCAAAATCTTCCTCCTTGTGGCACCCAGGATTGTTTGTTTGCCCTCCTCGTTATGAAAATAGATGCTGGAGCAATGAACCAAATAGTGGAGAGCCGGTGATAATTAGATAGTGCACTCCTAGCCCAGGTAGTAAGTAGACAACAGCAGAGAATTCGATGGCGGCATGGCAGAATCTGCCATGGCAGAACCCGCCATGCAGTTTGCTAGGTAATGGTCTACTAAAGATGCTAATGTCTGCCTGCCCCTTGGAACTGTTGTAGTTCTCACCAGTAGTTAAGTCTTGAGTTTTTCGATGATTACTACGGGAGAATACTCACTAATCAATTGATTCCACTCCACCTGACCTAAATTTGCCTATTTCAGCCAAAAAAAGATTTTATTTCCATACACTTATCATACACTACTAACCTTTACCCTTCCTACCATCTCCACCATACCATCCAATCCTGACCATACTAAATCCAAATCATCATCATCCTAGACAATCCGTACCACACTACCCTGCCCTACACATGCAGGCTTTCAAGCGCTCCGCATCCCGGGTACCTTGGCTGTGCTGAGAGCTATACCTATTCCATCAATTCTGCCAAACTCCCGGCAAGGACGCCTTTTGCTATTAGAATGCTGGCATCGCCAGCCAATTCATGATTTTGATATTTCCCTTTCGCATCAGGATCATCCAGAAAACAAACACACTTCAGCCCTCACGTTCGCTGCAACTCATCCCTCCCACCACATTCGCTTGTGTGTATCACTCTTAGGAAGCCCTCGTTGGCTCCTTCCGTTCGCTTTTGTGTCGTCCTCACTCAGCCCTAATTCTCCCAAAAACCTAAAAGGCAAGCCTTCGGAGGAAATTCCTTTCGCAGCCTTGACTCACAACATACCTTCGTTGAACAACTTAAACCCACACAATCGCTACGCAATCACTACTCTTTGTGTGACGATTATATCAGGCCGGATTCTCCCTTGATCTTCCGGATCCTTAAAGACACACCCAGCTTATATGCTTACTTGCTGCTCCAAGTCTGTCCAAGCTCACCTCGACATCGGAATACAGTTACGTTGCGTTCAGCCGCTGCGCCTTTAGATCTGATTGTTTTGTCATTCAAGAAGATATTGAACCCGGCTGGCTCTTGCAGCCTTACCATTACACTCGCTTGCAAAACGGTGAAGCTTACATATATCCGGCAGCCTCGGAGACCTTTTAGATCTCTAGTACCTTCCCCTCTGTTGCCTCTCTCCCGCAACATATAAACTTTTTAGCTTTCTATATATCCTATTGACCTTACCTTTTCAACCTCGTTTCGACGTTGGCTTTCACTCGTTCAAGCCTTCGTCGTCAATTATTTACTCGCTTTTTTAACTTTTTTTTCCCCCAAGCCTTATTCAAAATGGCCGGACCTGGAGGTGGACCCCCTCGTAGGAGGTAAGAAATACACTTCGAGCAATACCTTTGTGGACATAGACTGAACTTGAAATAGTCATACCAAATCGCGAAAGGGTTGTGAAACCTGTAAACGTAGACACATCCGTTGCGACGAGAACTTTCCTCAATGGTATGTCGATGGAAAACAAACCATCTTGTGACTTGAAGAAGCTTCGATACTGATAATATTTTAGTCGAAACTGTACGAAACATAACTGTCGCTGTCCATATATGGATATGCCAGTACAGGAGGAACGAGCTGCCACGCCCGAGAAAGCAGACTTGTTATGGACCCCGGAGATTGAAGCAGACATCGAGCGATGGCAACAGACCGGGAACTTTCCCTTCCCTGATCTATACATCTATCCAGCTCCCAACCCGCAGTATTTCAACTTCGAAGACCTTCGCCTCATTCATCATGTTGCTTCTGTTTCCAGCGAGCTCAGCATTCACGACGCAGGAAATTTCACTATTTGGACTCGACAGATTCCACTGTAAGATTAACCGCTTTCACATTAAATGTTTGACATGCTAATCAAGCTTTTAGCTTACTTAAGATTGGCTCGAGCTATTCTTTCGTCATGCACGCTTTACTTGCCTTGTCTGCAACTCATCTAGCTTGGTTGACAGACTGCCCTCTCACAGCAAATATGGCATATATTCATCGTGGCATTGCTCTCAAAGGCTTGCACGAAGCTATTGGAGAGTTTTCTCGTCAAAATTCAGATGCAGTCTTGGGAGCTTCACTTCTCCTTTCTTGGCAAGCAACGGAATGGTAAGTTATCAACAAAGCGGTCATCCAAAGAATATAAAGCTAACACAAACTTAGGCGTGGTTGGACCCAGCTCATGCATGGGACTTCATCTGTATGAAATACAACTAATATTGGGTATCATATTTCAGTATCAACTAACATCTAATAGGTCATCGACGCTATGCAACCCTGGAAAATGGAATCTCAGTTCGGTGATTTTATTGCAGAGCAAAGTACGTTCCCAACCGCACCGCCATCTCCAGCACCCGGCCAGAAGAAACTCAGTCAACCACGCAAGCAAGATTTGGATGCATTGCAACGCGCCTATGCTCAACTTCAAAAGGTCGAAGTCCATTTGAAGAGTCACGGCGAAGACACCAAGGCTATTCAACAACTCATGAGTTTTGTTCGAGGTGTCCGAAAGGTATCTCCATCCCATACCGCCGCCCAGCGATTCGAAATGCTCAACCCACTTCGAGCTTGGTTATTCTGGCTACCGGTTATGTTCTTGCAGCAAACACGCGGATCGCCTTCAGCGCTAGTCATCCTTGCTCATTACTATACCATTGCTTTGGTCGTGGAACCTCTATTCCCTGAGGTCGGAGCAGCATATTTTGGCAGTCTTTCTCTGGGACCCATCGAAGAGATCGCTCGCCGATTGTTCTCCATCAATGTTTCGCAAACTTCTGATTCCAACATGCAAACACCTCTTCATCTTATGGAATACCCCATAGATATGGTTTCAATGTTTAGAAGTCGTATGGGTTGGGTTCAGCCTGAACGTACAGCTTCTTTCCCGACATTTTCACATCATAGTTACGGTATGGAGGACAATTTTAACACCATGTCTCCTTACGGAAATCCAGCTTTCACCTACAGCCAAGAGCATATCATGACTATGCCGCCAGATCCGATCTCTTCTGCAGCCATTCCGCCATTAAATCTCGATCCATACGCCAATCATTACTTGGGAATCCCATCGCCAAGCGGGTATGGCGGGTACCATAGTCCGGCATCTTCGAATTTTGGGGAGGGTTCAACGGTCTACAGCGAGCATGGGGAAGATTTTGCTCTTTATGAGGGACAGGGCTCCGGCTCCAATTTCGGCGGGTTTGTGCTTCCGACCGTGTGGATATAAACCTCGAACGAAGGCGATTTAACATTTACGACCAGGACCACAACATCATCTTTTCAATTCGAGCCCAGGTCATCTGCGGACCAGATCAAAGCCGAGAATTCCGATCATATGCAGCAACACATGCAGCATTTACCTCAATTTCAACCTTATACCTATCATCCTCAGCATTTACCTCACTCTCAATACGACAACACTCCGGTGGATCCCAAGGGAAAAAACCGCGAGCTTTAATATCAGATTATCCCCGAATTCCCCTTTTTGAATATGCGAATACGCGCGCACCGTCGAGTTTTTATGAGATTACACTTTATGGATCTCCTTAATTATTGCTTTTAATATCTACATCATCCTAACGACTCTCCTTTATATCCGACCAATGATTTACGAAGTTTACGATTTTCTTTCGCTATGCATTCTTGTACGAATACCAGCACCCACGATCCTTTATATACCAATACAGCATCTTGCATTGGGCGGCGTTTTTGGATTGGGTTTGAGAATTGGAGGAATTATTGATTGGGCTGAGCTTTTGGGCTCAAAAAATAGCCATAAGTGGCTATAAAAATCAGTTGGCGTTACAGTTAAGAATAGTTGCTATCTCGTGTGTAGTGCGAACAGGATTATATTTGCAAACGTCTGGGGTTGCAATGATAATGTGTCTAGATAATCCATCAGATTAATCTGCCAGGAAATCAATCAATCAATCAATCAATCAATTAAATTAACAAATCCCTGGTGTTGTGGAAATCTCCAAGTGATCTGCTCAATGATGTGTGACCTGTCTGATATCTTTCCCCTTCCGCGAAAACTACCTCCCTAGGCATGCAGTCAGCTTCCAAGAAAAAGTAAGTTATTAGGTCGAGATCTCAATATACCCATATATTCCTCTCCACAATTATTTATAAATTCAAAGATCTACAGAAAACGCATCGACGTTAAATATGACGTGCATCTACTCCCTACTTTTCAATTTACCAACACAATTCTCGTCTCACTTGGCACCTCACCGGGGGCAGCAGGGGGCAATCACGTGTGGAGGGGTTTAGCGTCAATGTTAGCGGCAAGACGTAATTCGTCGCACCTGGAGCTTACCTAGTTTCGGAAGCTTGAGCTTCAAATGTTTGGAAAGTTATAATTCAAAACTATTTCCTTCCCACCACACGTCTTGTACATTAAACTATAGCAAACATGAGTGGTGGTTGGTCTACTAGTAAGTATTGCACTTGATACATCACCAAAATTTAAATAGAAATATCAAGGATACTAACATTCCCACTCCAGTCGAATCTGACGCAGTAAGAAGCCTACAACATGATTCCTGGTTCAGAGCAAACAGACAATTAACATCTTGCTCTTACAGGGAGTCTTTACATTTCTTCTCGATAACCTCGGGGTCAAAGATGTACAATTCGAAGAACTGATCGCGCTCGATTCTGATTATCTCCGCCAACTTTCTCCCATTTATGGCGTCATCTTTCTCTTCAAATATCCCGTCGGTGAAGCCCCCAATAAAGATGGCACACCCAAAGATGGTTCCTACGATTATCCCGCTGCGGAGAATCTCTTTTTCGCGGCACAAACTATACAAAATGCTTGTGGCACCCAAGCACTCCTCTCGGTCCTCCTGAATAAAGATGGAGAAATAGATGTTGGCACTCCCCTTCGCGAATTCAAAGACTTCACAGCGGGGTTCCCGGCCGAATTCAGAGGAGACGCGCTCAGTAATAGCGATTTGATTAGAGATGTTCATAACAGTTTCGCTAGGTCAAGTCCGTTTGTTGACGAGACGCAACGATCGTCGAGAGATGAGGATGGAGATGTTTATCATTTCATTGCTTATACGTCTATAAATGGTACGCTCTATGAATTAGATGGTCTACAACCTGCGCCTATATCTCATGGAGCGTCGACTGTTGAAGAATTCCCAGAGAAGGTTATACCAGTTTTACAGAGGAGAATAGAAAGATATCCAGCGACGGAGATACGATTTAATCTACTGGCGATGGTAAAGGATTTGAGGGTTAGGGCGAGGGAAATGGGTGACGTGGAGTTGTTGATGAGAGAGGAACAGAAGAGAAATGAGTGGCAATTCGAAAATGCTTTACGAAGACATAATTTTGTAGGATTTGCAGGGGAAGTATTGAAGGGTGTAATAGGGGATAAATTGAAAGAGGGACCTAAGGCATATGAAGAATGGGTGGAACAAGCGAAAAATAAGACAAAGGCGAGAGCGGAGGAGCAGAAGAAAGGTGGTGGAGATGGGGACTTAGAGATGTCTGGTTGAGATGTTACTGGCGATGGAGATTTCGAGAGAAGATACGCATCAGGTTGAATTGGAACTTCTAGGTTGGTCGAATATCATCGACTTAGCATTACTGGAACTTTTTACGCGGATGGAACTTAACAATGCATTGATTTGTGAGCGGAGCATACGAGTCAAAAAGGTTACAACATAACATAACGCAACGTCAATGAAATGCAATTTGTTGCCAGGAACCCTGGCTAGATTATTTTTATAGCCATCTTTTCTACGTTTTAAACAAACTTCTTATTTGTGTAATAAATCATTGATAAGCTAACAAACATACATCTCTCCTCCCACCGCATCACCGGCGCCATCTTGCAAAAACTTGTAAAGTTCAGAAACTATCCAATTTTCCGATGGGAAACACCATATCTATCATATTGTATATGGATATTGAACAATCATGCATGTACTCATGCCACCCGGCAAAACGCTTGTTCATAAACATTAAACACTATCCTCCTCAATTTTCATTCCCAAACCCATCGCTTCATGCGTATGTACATTTATCATGAGTACGTCTGTATAAATATATGTAGGTGTATACACACACCACAAAGCCTACCTATTCCATAATCAGAACCCCAAAGCCAAACCCCCAAATAACCCACAAACGCCCTCGCTATCTAACAACCTGGGCAACACCCTCTTCAATACTCTCCTGCATCCTCGCTTCCTCCGCTCTGTTTTTTTCTCCCTTTGTTCTCTTCCCCTTTCCTTCTTTCTCCTTTTCCTTCGGTCCCTCATCTTTGATATTATTATAATGCAACACCCCCAATTCCCTATCCATCCTCAATCTCTCTCTATCCTCCTCACTCACCGGCACGCCCTCAATCGCCTTGACTTTCTTCGCCTCCACAAACGACATGATCCCACCCGCCGCCGCAACCATACACGCCAGCGCCACAAAAAGTCCCGTACTCCACGACGGACGATCGTACCGATTGAGTCCCCACATGAAACCCGAGAGGACGGCTTGCAGAAAGGTATTCCATACCATGGTCCAGACCACAAAATCGAGTTTCCACATGGCGGTAGCGGGGGCTCGAACACCCGTCAGTGGCGCATCCGGAGACTTTGAAAGGGGAAATGCAAGGCTGGATTGCGGGAGAGGAGTATCGGAATCGAGGGCGTCGAGTTGAGAAGGTCCGATTTCCGGGGACAAGGACGGAGAACCTGCGAGACGAAACCAAGATCTATTTATCCCAGCCAATCGTCTCAGTCCCATCTCATTCTTTGCGATGCGGTATTGAAGCAGATAATAGAGATCGCGAAAGCGCCAGGGAATGGTTCCAAATCCCGTTACGCAGAATAGAGCATTGAGGATTTGCGAATCGATTTCGATCCAGATGCGTCGGGGAGAATTGATATCGTTGCAAGTGGGTTTGCACATGGCGGGCGAGGCATTGCAGAGTAGTAGAAAGAGCATGCCACCCCACGCAACCACATTCAAACCATACACCGTCACGAGAAACCCCACAGGAGTGATGAAGAATTTCCAAAAGGCTTTGAAAAATACGGCCGTGGAAACTTGCCATGAGTGTTTGGGCGGAAATTGATATCCATTATCGAAAGGAGTCGTTCGGTATTCATCGTCTGTCTTCGCATTGTGAGACGCGCGGTGTGTATCGCTGCTAATCCGAACACTCGAATTCGGTTTCACAAGCACTTTATTCTTGACGTCTGAATGTGAGGTCGTAGAAGTACTTCTCAGATCTGCATGCGCTTGTGTACGATCCTCTTCCTCTGGGGCTTCGGGAAGAACATCGTGTTTGGTTTCCGTACCCGATGGGATGTGATCGGACGTATTCATAGCGGTCGAATCCTTTCTCCTACTCTGATGCTGGTCTCCCAATTGTGAAATGGTGCTTCGAGAAGAGCTTGTCCGTCTCTGTATTTCTCGCACCTGTCCCTCGCTCGACCAACCCTCGACGCCAAAACTTCCTCTTCTGATATCGCTTATCGAAGGTACCTGCGATGCGATTTGTCCCGATGCAATACAAAATCCCGTCGGTGGGTTCGATTCCTCAAATACTCTAGAAACTCGCCGAATACTGCCCAATGTGCTTGATGGTCCTCTACTGCGAGTAGTTCCTTGCTCTTCGACTTTGGAGGTAGACGATGGATTTGGGGGGGAAGATCCCTCTAGAAGGGGGAATGGTAAGACACTTGGTTCGATACTAGACTGTCCATCTTGGCGTAGGTAATTCGCTGGAGGCGAAGCTGTATTGGCATTGGCATTGGTACTGGTCATTGCCTGATTATCGCCACCAGCCGCGAAAGTGTCATGGTTAGCCATGAAGAATGTATCGGTTGATATGGATCTCGAAACACTGTCTCAATAATGTGTTGAAAAATGCAACGAAACAATTTTGCTTCTTCAATCTCTATTAAGTCATACTGAACACATGAGCATAGGAAAACTGAGTTTGAATCAGAGAAAGAAGTAAATAAAGTCGCATCATGAATCTGTGTACGGGTATGCGATTGCCCAGCGATTTAAAGAGTTCTAGGCTTTGCGCGATCCGTCCAGCTTATCAGAGTTACAAGCCATTTTGGGGGGAGATGGGGATTCAGGGGTTATGTATGGTAAACTTAAAATTTTAGCGGCCTCTTAACTCCACGTAAAAAACTTGATCAGCGGAAGAATGCGAATGAGGGGGACTTGGTATTCTCGTATTTCGTATTTCGTATTTTCGTAATTTTCGCATCTAATAACGGTAGTCTTCTAGTTTTTACTTACTCCGTAGAGAGCTATGTGTTAACTAGAGATTTCAAAGAGACTGACCAAGAATTATCTTCTTGTGTTTATTAATTCGTGATGTGAGTTGCATCACGTGTTAGGGTGGTCAAGATAGAAGCACTTACGAAGGAGGCATATAGACGTAGAGATTTGAGCCAGAGGATGAGTGCATTCTATGGAATGAAATATATGTGCAGACTAAATGGTACAAAGAAAGATACATAGATAGATGAGTGTTCGCATTACATGATTATAACTATTTGGAGTGATTCAAGATACGAATTTGAATTGTGTATTTCAAGATTCATCCAAGCTGTGTGTTTGTAGAGCTTGTGAAAAAAATCCAACATCATTCATATCCACATTCTTGAACCGGATAAATTGCCCAACCTGTCGTTTCCATATTCTCGTATTCAATTACAATTTGAAACTCAAATCGAAAAGCTCGCGTGAAAACAGTAGAAAATAATGAAATCCAATTATGAGAGCTTGCCCTCCGCTTTCGCAGCTAGAAGGAATGTTAGCTTCACTCTGCGGTTGTTGCAAGATTCTTACCTTTAACTTGCTCGAACACTTTGAGCATCTTTCTTCTCGCTCCAAGCGCGTTGACTCCCCTCTTCTCCAATGCCTCGTCATCTAGTTCCACAAGCTCGGTCCAATTCATATCCTTAAGCTGATCGGTGTACTTATGTAATCTCAAACTTCTCAGCCAGCTGGGAATATCCTGAAGAAGGCTAGGATCGGTAGGATCCTCAGGGGGCTTTGAGCTACCCCTTCTTCCACGTGGCGATCTACCCCGCGCCATTTCACTATGATCAGAGAGATACCCCTCATGCTGTCCCATACCAAATGCGTTGAGACTCAAGCCACTCATGCCATTGTTGAGTAGAGGTGAGGCTCCATCGTATGCGGCCAAGAAGCCGTTATTCTGTGGAGATGCGAAATTGACTTGACCAAATCCGCCTTGCATGGCCAAACCTGGAGAGCTTGGCCTAGACTGCCTGCCGCCGAAAGAATGCTGCTGCTGAGCTTGAAGCCCTAAGACCTGGTCTCGACTCATTATTTGTCCGTGTTCATTAATCATGACAACGTTAGCGTTTGGCATATTGTTGGGAAGACCGGGAGAAGGTGGAACCTGCCCACCATCGTTTGATCTAGCACGGCGATACTTTCGTACATCATCCAAGGCAAATCGATTGTTGACTGTAGAAAGGGCCGCTAACTTCATAGCCGTAGCGTTTGCGACCATATCGGTGTTGCTGTTCGACGCATTGAAATTGGGGACCATTGGTGTGTTGACCATCGAGGCCCAGTTTCCATTCCCAGCATTGTATGGCGAAAGTAGTGGCATATCAGAGCCAGTGTTGTCAGGAGCGTTGATTACAGTATTTTGGAGGTTAGATGAGCCCTGAATTTGAGTGGGTCTGGGAGAGCGCAAGCCACCAGCGGAAGGCGGCGGTTGCATAAACTGGCCCATGGGTGTTTGTCCCGAAGATGACTTGGGCCTGTTTGCCTGGTCATTACTGCGAGATCCCCATGGTGAGGCGGGAGGTGCGCTATTGTCCGTCGAGTCTCCAAGACCAGCGATGACAGGTGCGGTGAGAGAGGCACGGTTGTCGTAGGCTGCACTGTTTCTGTTTGAGGTAGGAGGATTGCCCCAGTTCTGAGTATATTCAGCCTTTTTGCTGGCAATAGCTGCCGCAGCATCTGGAAACATATTGTTTATCATGGATGGATCTAGGACAGAGTGTCTCTTTGTAGACGGAGTGGCGGGAGGACGGCCAATAGAATTTCTTGAGCCATCACCACCAAGCTTGCCCATTGCATCGTTTAGTCGAGTTGACATAGGATCTGGAGTAGACAAATGTTAGCTAGACCTCAGGAAAAGTGTGAAGCCGAGATGTTTTGAGACTAACCTTTGTCGAAGTTTGCGGGTGACAACACGCCAGACATTGGATGGTTTTTGCCCATCTGCTGTAAAACTTGTATAAAAAAGCGAATCTGTACTTGGGTTGTTTGTTGAAGTAGAGCATACAAAGCAGCGGTTCGTTCGGCCTCACTCAGAACCCGGAACCATTGTTCTATTGCACTCAACTCATCTTTAAAGTCTTGATCCAAAGTTGCAGCTGCCATTTCTTCCAAAGTATTCTCATATTGGTCAATGTCGGCGATCCATTGCTGAGCTTCCAAGTCAGTATCATTCTCAGGGACACCCTGACCCTGCATTTGTTGAGTACCATAAAAATCGGATGAAGGTCGAGCTTGGCCACGGCTAGCAGATGGTGAACCTGAATATCCCGCCATGTCTGCAGAAGCTCGAAGGTGATGACCGGAGCCGACAGCGCGTGAAGATGGAGGTCGAAGTGATGAAGTATTTGTAGACTCGACAGGAGTGCTGTTGCGATTGCCTATGATGTGTCCGGCCGACATATTGAGCATAACTGTTCAAAATGTAGCTTCAAAACGAGATGCTGTAATAAAAAAGATTGGAGATTCGCTTTGGGGGGAAATGGGGGAAAATATGAAACACAGCCGACGAATGTCAATGCGAGGAAGATTGCAAGTTCGTTCCCAGTCAAAAGCCTCGACCCCAAAATTAGAAAGATGTGCTCCAATGTGAATACCGATGCGCTTGATTGCTACCTGCAGGACCTGCTGAGGAACCAAATCAAAGTGCAGGATAGGTTCGTGTATTTTGTTAAGTAAGTTTATGGTGGATTGGAAGTGGGTGGGAGTGAACCAATAGAGAAGGATTTCTCAGGGTTCAGGTACTTTTTTGGGTTGTAACTTGTAAGAAGCTCCGAAGTCAGGCTGAGAGAATGGATGAAAGACGAGAGAGATGGATAACTCGAGATCCTGAAAGGGTTCCTGGTTCCGATTTCCAGATTTCCAGATTACCAGAGGTCCAAAGAGTGCCGGATCGACCGTTGCTGGTTGATATTGATTGTACTCTTCACACAGGAACAGAGTAAGTTATGAGTACAGAGTTGAGTTCAGTCGAGTCGAGTCGAGTCGACTTTGAGTCGAGTGTTATCCTGATTCAAGGATTATTCTATAGATGTAATAAGTACGTCGATACTTGGTAGGTACTAGCTATCTACGAAGTACTCGTATAATAGATAAAATGGATATCGTAGAGAGGCTTGTGTTCAACGTTTTATTTTGTTCTTCGTGAAGAGGAGGGGGCAAAAAGTAACGTTTCGAATTGAGTAGATGCGGAGCAATAAGCTCATCAAAAAGTACTAGGCAGGAAAATCCCCGAGGGAAGTACAATTGGACATTTTACTAGGTAGGTAGGTATGCTACTCGAGTAGGTACGTAAAAAGGGATTCACCGCGGAAGTCGGACAATGTTTGAAAAAGCAGAACCACCAGCCAATGCCAGATCGCCGTTGATGAATAAAGAAAAAAGTTCTGTTTCACATTCAAATTCACCAACATAGATAATTGGGTTTCAAATTAAATCCCAGGTTGTAGCAAGGAATGAAGCCATCTCCATCTCGAGGTCCCTTCATTACCTAGGTAGGTAGGTAGGTAGGTAGGTAGCTGGAGGCACTAGGTAGGTATATTCACTTGTAGCTTCGTTCACTTCACATTTCATACATCTTCCTGGGTAGCCATCATCCGGGATATTTCTAGATCCCGAGGTCGTGATGCAAGAGAAAAGAATCGAATTATATTGGTTATCAAGTCCTATCACTGGGGCAAAACAAAAATACCTGCCTGTGGCTAGTTAACCCCCAAAGTCCCCAAAATATCCAATACATGTTGAATGCAATCTCATAAATGAAGTCATCCGAAGTACTATGACTTGACATCCGATATCCACGATTTGATTTGTAACCCCTTCGTCATGCACCATTGCCTCATAGAGTATTGAGAAAAAGTGTTTGGTAATGAAGGGATCTGGTGTTTGATCTTGGCACGAAAAGAAAATATCCTTTCAGCTAGAGAGCATTGAAATGGCTCTAAAAGCTGTACACACAAATGCCTGTGTTGATGGTTGTTCATGGGGGAAACGAATTTGGGGTGGAAAGGAAATAGGGTAAAGGGGAGGGAGTCATTGGAGAAAGGGCCAATTTTCACTTAACCTCACAAGTTGAAATTCAAGGTACGTCGGATGGTGTAGCTTGTGTTGATTCAATGGATAGAACTATCGCCCCCAGTGTCTAATCCCGGTTTATGTCGTCGGCTTGCTTCCACTTCCCTGTAGAGCAAAATATCGGAATGCAACTACTGCCACAACCAAGTCCCATAAAATAAGATATTATCAAATTTATGCGGTCTCACGCTTGCCCTCCTTCAACTCCTTCTGTAATAATAGTCAGTATTCGAATGCGATGGAAGCTGATGATCGGAAGGAGGACGAACCAAAGCCTTCATTGTGCCGTGGAGAGCATGTCTGTGGTTTCTTCTGAACTTGGGGTCGGTACCCTTGAGGGATGGGTATCTGGAGGTCTTTGGCTTCTTGATACTGCGCGTCGATGTAAAATTAGCCCCCATTCATCCCAAACCGGTTATTAACTGAAGTAGACGGAATTTGCGGTTATTGATCGCGATAATATGTAGGGAATCGTACCCGTTACGGTGAGCCTTCTTCGACTGGTTGTGTTGGGACGAGTTCTTGGATTCTAAAAAGGGGCAAAATCAGTACAATGGACTGTGAGGCTGCCATATATTGGGATCGTAACATACTCGCCATTGCGACTGTTGTTAATTAGCAGTCTGTTGGATTGTTGTGGTGGTCGATTTCGTATCGTAGAAGAGGGAATTAATTTTCCTCCAAAATGATCTTGGTGCGGCGGTTGCTCGCCTAAATTTCGATTTAATCACGTGAATACGACTAGCTTCCCCCGCTGGAATTCCACTCGCCCTTTTGCATCGAAGTCTAGACGCAACTTGAATTCTCGGTATTCGTTCCGTTTACTTTATATTGAAAGGTTATCATGTGAATTTGTATCTTTATGGCCCATGGTCAAAAATATCATATATGTCATTCAATTTGTTTTCCAATCAAGTATATGTACAGTACAAGCTCTATCACATCTACTCCAGCTAAACCTAGCAAAACTTACAATGCTCTACTACCCAAAACCATAAAGAAATTTCAATGCCCTCATTTTTGCTATTACTCGCTCAATACTCGAATTTGTTTATTACTTAGCAATGACTGGTAGAACTTGCTTGGCTTTTGACGCTGCAAGATCTGCGGCCTTTTGCAATTGCTCTGATCTAATCTTTCGAAGATATCTAAAGAGAAGAATGAAAAGTAGCTCCATCCTACAAAAGTATTAGCTTGATTAAATTTCATTTGGGTTAAATTGTATGGGCCGAGTTTTACCTTTCTTTCGTCATCATTAGGAGACCTTGAACAATGAGTCCCTTGGTGATTTGTGGACCGATTCCCTTGAAGAGGCCCAGCAATCCTTCATTATGGATGATGAACTGCATTACTTCGATAAAACTTTTAAAAGGTTTACCCTCTCTGGAAGGGGGTGGTCTTGACTGAAGTCCAACCTTTGCAACAATCAAAGGCTGGGTTACAATGGTTGCAAGGGATTTGGACATTGCTCCCAATACTATCATTTCAATTAGATCCCGAAAGTCCCACTGAATTGACAAACTTACCAAATGCTTCCCATGGTTTGAGGTTTGTCTTGCCTGGGAAAACAACCTCTCTCAATCTTTGATATGCGCCATATGTAATGGCAGGATTAACAACAAGCACTAAGCTGGCCTTGAGACCTCTCCAAAGACCGGTCCAACCATCTTCGCTATGGATAACATCCCGAGCTGTATCTACCATCCCTTTCCTTTCACCCTTTTTTTGTGTTTGCTGACGAGTGGTAACTACTGCAACAGGAATAGTAAAGACCTGGGCAACAGCTCCTGCGACGGCTCCTAAAGACAATTCGATTGCAGTGCTTGGAGGCGTGGGAACTTTCTGGGAAGAGAGATATAACGTTCGAACGACCGAGTACCAGTAGAAGTAGGCAAAATTGGTTGAGGCGACACCAATCAAGGCGCCATTGATACCAGCGTAGAGTCCAGCAACTCCATCCTCGGCTACAATCTTCGAAATCGCATCCCAAGTCGACGTATAGTGGACTGCATCGTCACCCGTTGGTGCTACATCGGTCGGCTTGCGTTTGACTTGAACTTGCAGGCGAGTTTTCACTCTGGTAGAATTACGATATTAGCCACAAAGTACCAACAGATTCGTAGAATATAAGCAAACGATTACATACCGCCTTGCGAATGCGCACGCAAACGGGGATCAAAACTTACATATCCAGGGGATATACCATAGCATTTGCAATTACAGCTCCTGTAGCTCCAGCAACTGCCAAACCCCATGGTGGAATAACGGCTTCTTTTGATTGTCCTGTCATGTTGGATTTGTAGAATATACTGAACCGACTTTATATTCTTGAGTAGGGGGAATATAGAACGATTGTATTTTAAAATTTCATGGAGCAGCAAACAAACAAGCAATAATGGATATTGAGTCTGGGTATTATTAGGTAAAGGAATAAGTTTAGTGCAAGGTCTTTTTTATATCTTATTTGAATTTTTAATAATTAATAAAAGACACAAGTATGTATCACAAATCCAGATAGGTAAATAGGAGGTTATGAATATCTATGATATGATATTAAGTTTGAAGAATTCCTGAATCATATTCCTTCCTTCTTCATAGTTAGCCGTTATGTATTGCTATCATGCGCGGCGCGAGTGTCGGAGTTTGTGACGATCTTAAACCTCGGCTCGGATATTCGCCATGGGACCGTGCATTTTATTCCATCATTCCACCGAATGTCCACTGCTCCATGCCAAGAACTCTATCGTACTGTCCACGGTTATCCTTAAACATCCTTGCCTCAAACAACCTTGACCTTAATGGGATGGATCTCGAGTATCACGTGGACATTCAGCTCTCTTGCAATTGATGAAACGGATGGGAAACGAGGACAATCCAAGCCGTTGGTTTAACTACATAAACAAGCAAAGCATAAACCCAGATTGATCAGACAACACCCTTACGACTTTGCTCATACTTCTTTCTCCAGCTTTAAAGTGAATCTAGTCTCCGTTGGCAGTCTGAAAAGCCATACATCAGACGAGAGAGCATTTGCTTAGGGATATGGCTTGATATCTACCGTTCGATAACCCTCTCATTCATATGCTGCTCACTTTCGTATCCAAAGCAACATTCCTCTATAAGAGTTGTTGTAGCCATTATGGAAGCCAAAGCTCTTGTACGTCAATACCCATTAATCCGAGTGATGGAACAAGTCATTCTGACACTGGAGCTAGGAAACGGAGTTGAGCATTGACAAATGTAGCTCCAAGGAGGAAGCTTTGAAAGTCTCTATCGCTGCTATTGAGTTGTATATTGAAGTTTCGAAGCAAGTACTTGGGAATGCCGAAAAGGCAAGGATCAACCGAAAATGCAAAGCATTGATGTTGAAAGCGGAAGAGATCAAGAAGTCATCCACTTGGCCTATAAAACCCGCTTCAATCTTCCTGAAAGCTCCGGTATCCGAACGAACCTTGAGTAAACATGAAGAAATTATCTTGCTCGAGGGATCAAGATTGCATGGATTTATTTTCCCACGGTGGACCTCTGAGCCTGATGACACGATATTTGAAGCATCATTATATACGTATGTAGATAGAACCGATGAGTAGTATACCGAGACCGTTTACTGACTCCAATAGAGACTCTTCTGAGCTAAAGCTTTCCGAGGATCAAATTGAAACATTTGCAGGTTGGAAGAGACCCCACGAGAGGGATGATGTTCCTTCTCAAATGCTGAAAGATGTGGAAAATACCGATATTCTTATGAATGCCTCTAAAGATATTGATCTTGTCCAGGATATAACTACAGATTGCTCCGTCGTAGCCAGTCTTTGTGCGGGAACAGCACGTGCTGGAAAGGGTCACAGCAAGGTATATCCATTTTCGACTGTCATATTGAACATACTTTAAGTTTACTGACTCTTTCCAACAGGTACTGGATACCATTCTGCGCCCATATGATATCAAAAAGCAGAGGCCGAGATCATCTAAAAATGGGAAATACATACTCCGTCTTCAATTCAATGGCTGTTATAGAAAAGTCACAATAGACGATCGGCTACCAGCTTCAAGTTCAGCTCGCAACCTTCATGTCGTGGATAGAAACAATCCTATGCTGCTATGGCCTGCATTAATTGAGAAAGCATATCTTAAAGTGCGAGGCGGCTATGATTTTCCAGGCTCGAACTCTGGCACAGACTTATGGATAATGACTGGATGGATTCCCGAGCAAATATTTTTACAAAGGTATTAATAATATACCCTTTCCCGGGAATCAAGCTATACTGACCAAATTGATTGATAAAGTGACGAAATTCAGTCTGAATTGCTGTGGAAGCGTATTTATAAATCTTTCGAGTTCGGCGATGTCATGATTACATTAGGGACTGGTAAGCTGACCAGAAGAGAGGAAGCTGACTTGGGCCTGGTTGGTGAGCACGACTATGCTATTCTTGACATGAGAGAATCTGGATCTCAACGACTATTACTCGTCAAAAATCCTTGGTGCGATGGTATGGCTTGGAAAGGGCCTAGACGAAGCCCAGTTCAGGAGGAGTCAGGAGACAATACTTGGACGGAAGGTCTCCGGGAATCATTAGAAGCGTCTGACACATCGAGAAGTTCCACCAAACCAGGTACTTTTTGGATGGCATTTGAGGATGTGATACAGAATTTCGAATCCTTGTACCTCAATTGGAACCCCGGACTCTTTCGTTATAGACAAGATCACCATCTCTCCTGGACGATTCCACTCGTTAATAACATCGGAACATTTACTCAAAACCCTCAATATGTAGTTCATTCTGTTAAAGGAGAGACTGTCTGGGTATTGCTCAGTCGACACTTCACTACAGAAGAACACGATATTGCTCAAGGTTCAAGTACACAAAGTATCACATCCAAGTCCCTCGGCTTCATCAGTCTGTACGTCTTTGACGCCTCCGGTCATCGCGTTTATTTAAGCGATGGCGCTCTACACCGCGGTGCCTACGTCGACTCTCCCCAAACTCTCGCGCGGTTCGAGCTACCCGCAAGCACCTCCTATACAGTCGTAGCCGCGCAACAAAACCTCCCTCTCCCAAAATACTCCTTCTCGTTCTCCTTCTTCTCTCGCTCTCCCCTCACCATTTGTTCCGCCCCCGACAGTCACACCTTCAGCACCTCTCACCCCGGCTCCTGGACGACCCGCACAGCGGGTGGCAACGCCAGCTCTCCATCCTACCCCTCAAACCCTCAGTTCAGTATCACAATCACAGAACCTACCGATGTAATGCTCGTCCTCGAGGCAGACAAAGAAGACATCGCCGTCCACGTAACCATGATCTGGGCCTCGGGACAACGCGTCACCGTCATCAATTCCCGCGACATAGTCGGCGGCTCAGGCGACTACCGCCGCGGCTGCGCGTTGGCAGAACTACACAACGTAGCCGCGGGCAAATACACCATCGTCTGCTCCACCTTCCAAGCAGGTGAAATCGGAAACTTCACCCTGCGCGTCAAATCCTCGAGCAAATGCGAAATCCGACCCGTCCTCGCCGAAACAGCAGGCAGACTCGTGGCCAAACTCCCCGCCCTCGTCTTCCAAAATGGAATCGATAGAATGCTCGCGCCCATCACCGTCGCCCGTCTCACCCGTCTGAGATTCGTCGCAAAAACGAGTATGGAAAATCGACCGCCGCCGACAAAATCGAGACCGAGTCTGAGAGTTAGTATTGAGAAGGGTCAGGGCCCTAATAAGATTCTTTTGGAGTCGTCTAACGAGGGAGAATTCAGCGATGCGCCGGCGGGGATCCGCACGAGGGATATTGATATTTCAAGCGAGATGAATCGCATGGGGGGGATCTGGGTGGTGGTGGAGAGGCTGGGCGGGAGGTTGGGGTTCGATGAGGTTTTTGTCGAGGCGTTGAGTGATTCCAAGGTGGAGATTGGGGTTTGGGGAACGGGGGATGGATAGGGGTGATGTGTATGTATGTATGTATGTATGTTTCTCTTCTTTAGTAAAGAAAAATCAAAATAAAGAAAAACAAATCATCTTCTGTCCTACTCGTGATTGAAATTCACTTTTCAAAAAAAAAAACCACAAGAATGTATACACATGATGGCTAGAGTCTAAGATTGCCCCCTTAGCGAATCTGGAGTTTGAGTATACAGTAGGTAGTGGGTAGTAAGTGTATAGTATGTATGTATAGACATGAAGTCGAAGAATCCTACTATTCAATCCATCCAAGCCTCCAAGCATCCAAGCATCCATCCGTTTACTCATTGATCCATCTGTCCATCCACCCCTCCACCAATTCCTCACATCCAATATCCCTCCTCCCCCTCCCTCTTCCCCTTCCCCTTCCCACTTTCCACATCCCCTCAAGACGAGAAGAAAAAAATCACCTTGAAAAAGAGGAAGGCTCCATTCCATTCCATTTCATTCCATTTCCAATCCAATCCAATCCAATCCACTCAAAATGACAAAAAAACAGCACCAAAAAATAAATAAAGAACACCCCCTAAATCCATTTCTGGTATCAAAAAGTGCCTCCCACTCCCATACTCCATTCATCCATCCAATCCATTCATCCCATTCAATCCATTCGAATCCAAATCCAAATCCGAATCCGAATCCGAATCCAACCCCATAACCATCAATTCATAAAAAGCGAGAAAAGTTTATGCGTGCTTGCCGTTCGGTTCTAGGTGTGTAGATAAAATCTCACCCACTCAGCAGAGGAAACGCAGAAAATGCAACGCAGCGCAAGAAAAAAGAACAAAGCCTCCCTTCCTAATGAAACACCACCACTCCGCTTTATGACCTTTTGCCCATTGCAAGAAGAATCTGCAAATTGCAATTTTATCAAGCGCGAAGAAAATAATCCGACCCATATATAGATAGACCGATAGATGAGTTCTTTAATTTTTTTTTCAATTTTTGACTCCCCGCTCCCCTTCTCCCGCAACTGTCACTACCCCGCCCTGTCCAACGGCTTTCAACTGCCACCTCTACGTCTTCTGCCTTTACTCGGACCTTCCGGTCTTTGCGCGAGCACTTCTCGCAAGAGCGGGTCGTCTTTATGTTTATCTGTGTGATGTGCTCTTACATGTCTATGATCGCTGCAAGTTAGAAGAAAATCCAGGCATTTATTTGCATTTCATTCAGAGGCGTGAGAATTATCAAATTGTCAATCAACATTCAAAAGTCTCCCTCCACGCCGTGTCCAAAAGATAGAGAAATTCAAACATACCTTTGCAGATTATCCGGCCTTGGATATTTATGCTCTCTTTCCGGACAGAAAGGACACACATAACCCGGACTATCGTGAACCAAACCATGTCTAATCATTTCATTTTTCCTCTTGAACCCCTTTCCCCCCTCGGCTCTCGAACATCCTCTTACCGTACAATAATGCGGTCGATTGGAAGAATGTACATTTGCATGGGAATTTAATAAATACTATTTGTATATGAAATTAGCATCTTACAGTTTAAGTACCTTTTTCTATATAAATTCTTTATCTTGAACATCCAGAAATCCATCAAAAGCATGATCTCATTCGTACCTGTGTTTGAAAAGGCGCAGCAACACACCCCGGATAGTTGCACTGATA